CTTGCAGTGCTCCTGGGTATATACAGTATTGTCAACACTTCCTGGGAGGAAATGTCATCCCACGCTTCTCTGTGCACTTTGTCATCTTGTAATACGTGTACCCAATTCATTTTCACTCCTTGAAAATTTACTTCCATGATGAAATAGCCATGTTTATCATAGAAAAATTACAACATGCAAATAACCATTGCCATGAACAGTTCCCACCAGCTGTCCCCAAGCATCACCCACTATTGGTACATTGTCCTCCTCTGTTTTCTGTGTTCCTTCATTTTTTTTTGAATAGCAGATAAAATTCATATTTTCCCTATTGCTTTAGGAAGACATTCTAAAAGGATTTACCATGTGTGTTTGTGTATGGGAAGGGTGTAGTGCTGGAAGTGCCAACATGGCCCTGGGTGTGGGAGCCAGAGCTGGAGTGGAGGCATTGATTAATTCAGGTAATGTTGTGGCATAATACAGCTGACAGAAGGAGCAGGACCTGGGCAACAGATAGGGAGGGGGCAGAAACCTGTGTCTCCATGCCAGCAACCATGAGAAGTTGGTTGCTCCTGGACTGAGCGTAGGCCAGGACATCAGTAGCCTGTTCTTTTCTTCTTTACATTGTGTGCTGCTGAAACATTTTTTGGAGCAAAAGCTGGAGTGTGGCAAAAACCACAGAGCAGGATTTTCAATCAGGCTGCCTTTATCCTTTCTCCCCAAAGAAAATTTGGTAACAGCCAGAGACATTTTGGGTTGTTAAACAGGAAGAAAGTACCATTGGTATCCATACCATGGATATTGCTGAATGCCTTACAATGCACAGAGAAGCCCCCACAACCAAAGATTATGTTGGCCCAAATGTCTGCAGTGTCAGAATTGAGAAATCCTGTGTGTGTTTGTTTGTTTAAGATTCATTTATTTTACTTGAGGGAGTGTGGTGGCTTCCATCCTCTGGTTCACTTCCCAAATGGCCTAAACATCCAGAACAGAGTTGGTCTGATATCATGAGCCAGGAACTTCTTCCAGGTCTCCTATTCCGGTGCAGGGACCAATGACTTGAGCATCCTCCACTGCTTTCTCTGGCCATAAGCAGGGAGCTGGATGGGAAGTGGAGCAATTGGGACAGAAACTGGAACACATTTGGAATGTAAGCAGCACAGGTGGAGGATTAACTTGACATACCACCACACCTATCCCGAGAAATCCTGTTTATAAGAAAAGATAGGTGTGCTTTGTGGCACAGGGGATTAAGTCACCAGTTGGGATGCCACATTCCTTATCAGAGTTCCTGGTTCAAGTCTATTCCTGGCTGCTCTGCTTCTCATTCAGCTTTCTACAGAGGCACATCCTGAGAGGCAGTAGCTGATCTTTCCTGTACTTGGTTCCCTGCCACCCTTGCGGGAGATCAAGATTGAGTTCCTGGCTCCTGGCTTCAGCCTGGCCGTACACTGCCTGCCTGTTGGGAAGTGAGCCTCCCTCCTCCCTTGTTGCTTTGTCTTTCTAATAAAAGTCAGCAAATAAACATTTTCTGAAGGCCAGGCAGTCCTTGGCAACAATGCTGTTGCATGAAAGGGAAAGGACTGTAACAATATTGATTGTGTTTTGTCTCACTTGCCCATCGAGACGTCAGTTTGAAAACTCTCCTCTGTGCATCTGGAATCTGTCAGCCAGATTAAGAACGCTAAAGGTTTTTAATCAGCGATCAGTGTTGTGTGCATTTGTGAAAGGTCAAGAGTTGTCATAAGAAAGGGCAGTGAGCACTTCCATGCAAATCATACTTGAAATGATCCCAAGTAGCTTTTGAAAACTAATTTCATTAAATTCGGTGGCGTAAATAGCCAAGTGGTTGTTAATCCAGGGTCAGACCTGGGGAAATGAGGACGTGATGGGGGTGGAGGAAAGACAAGAGTAACGAATCTTCTTTCCAGCTTTTGCTGTAATTTTTTTTTTAACTGAACGAATTCTGCTGTGTTTGTGCAAGCGTTCCTGTGTGAGTCCCAAGACCTTTGAGTCACTTCCAGCCAAGTTTCCCAGGCATCATTATGCACCTGTGCCTCTAACTCCACTGTTTGTTTTCCAAATGCCCAGTTCCTGAGGGAGCAAGAAGAGGGAAAGGAGTGCGGGGACTGCCATGTGCGTGGGTAATCCAGCTGGAGGTCAGGACGTGCCGGGATCCTAGAAGCCTCGATGGAGCCAGAGGCTCAGCATGGATTTGGAGACCTTGCTCTTATCTTTCTTTTTCTTCTTCATTTTTTAAATTGAGATTGATTGAATAGATGAACTTGATTTTTATGAGCTACCTCATGAAGAAGCAGAGAAGAAAATGGGTCAGCAGGAATCCAGGGGAGGGAGGCATGATCCAAATTAAATATCACAGGTGCCTGCCACTCAGCTGCTGACAGAAGGCAAGCAACTTGTCCTGAGAAATGAGCGGAAATTTGTCAGGAAGCACTCTTTTGCCATAAGACCTTACTGATAGCACCGTCTTAATTCTCATCATTGAATGAGTGCACTCATCTGGCTCTTTTTCCTGCTTATCATGTACTGTGTGTATTTGACTTTTACCTGTGCAGTTTCTTTGACCCACTCCCCTTAGCGCAATGAGGCTTCCTGTTTCCAGTCCACTCACTGTCCCTCAGGTCAGCACTTGCCTCATGCAGGTGTTTCATTTTGGCATCTGTCTTTCTGTGTGTCTGCCTGCCTGGCTGTCCTCATAGCCTAGGCGTGCTGCAGTGAATCACTACGCATCTGGCATTGTACCTGCTCAGGTTTTAGGGGGACAGCGGTCTGAACTCCAGGTGTGAGCTGGGCAGGGCTCCTTCTGGGGGTTCGTGGCGCTTCTCTCTGGCTGCATGAATCTTGTTTCAGTCTTTGCGAGGCTTTTTCCATCATATTTATGTCTTCTTCTGTCACCAGCAAAGGATCTTTGCTGTTGGATTTTTTTTTTAAGATTTATTTATTTTTTTTGGAAAGTCAGATATTCAGAGAGGAGGAGAGACAGAGAGAAAGATCTTCCGTCTGCTGATTCACTCCCTAAGTGGCCACAACAACAGGAACTGAGCTGATCCGAAGCAAGGAGCCAGGGACTTCTGGGTTTACCATGTAGGTGCAGGGTACCAGCACTTTGGGCTGTTCTCCACTGCTTTCCTAGACCACATGCAGGCAGCTGGATGGGAAGCAGAGCTGCCAGGATTAGAACCGGCACCCATACGGGATCCTGGTGCATGCAAGGTGAGGACTTTAGCTGCTAGGCTGTGTCAGACCATGTTATTGGATTTGGATCCATTAGGGTGATCCAGGGCGACTGTGTCTCTAGAATCTTCACTCAGTTCCATCTGCAAAACCCTTTTTCACAAATCTGGTCTGTTCACAGGCTCCTAGGGTTAGGACATAGTCACCACCATTCAGCCCACCGCTTTGTCTTTCAGGTAGCTAGTAGAGTCTTGTTTGCTATTTGTTTTTACGGGGAGCATAGGACACAGTTGATACTAATAAATACTTATTGATTGGAAATGTGGCCCAAGTGAAAGTGGCTCAAAAGAATGGTGATCTGATGGTCCTATCGTGTTTCAAAGCTGCCCCATCCTTATCTCTGAGGAGCACATGGACATACAGCCCACGTGTGTTACAAATTAAAGAGGTAACGTCTAATAGCCACGCATAAGGAGCAAGTACTCACTGTACTGGACTGCCGTTAAAACCTGTGGGAGTGCTGTTCTCTAGGTGTTCATTCAATGTGGGCTGCAGTTAACTTCCTAGGTGGGCTCCAGGATTCCGAGCTTCCAGCAAAATGCAGATACCTCAGCTGAGTGGACCTTATTTATTCTTTATTCATTTAGATGCCTGAGAGAGAGAAAAAAAAATTGATCAGAGCTATAAAAATGAAGGAAATAAAAAAAATATTAACAGTCAGTTTTGCGTGATTCACTCAACTGAGTAAGTTCTAAGATAAGAACGAATATTTGGCTTACTTGCTGGGCACGGGGTGATAGAGAAGAAGGACACACATATAGCGGTGGTCAGGAGTGGTCTGGAAACCCGAGTTCCAGGTCAGGAGATCAGGCCCACCTCCACTGCCACCTGCATGACCTTGGGCAAACGGTCTCATTTCTTTGGGCTGAAAAAAACCCAAGCTTTCTGTCTTTTCAAGTCATCAGATGTGTTGAAGCATTGGTTTTCTTTTTTTTTTTAAGATTTATTTTTATTATTTTTTTATTGGAAAGGCGGATATACAGAGAGGAGAGACAGAGAGGAAGATCTTCCCTCCGATGATTCACTCCCTAAGTGAGTGCAACGGCTGATGCTATGCCAGTCCGAAGCCAGGAGCCTCTTCCGGGTCTCCTATGCAGGTGCAGGGTCCCAAGGCTTTGGGCCATCCTTGACTGCTTTCCCAGGCCACAAGCAGGGAGCTGAATGGGAAGCAGGGTCACCAGGATTAGAACCGGCAATCATATGGGATCCTGGCACGTTCAAAACGAGAAGTTTAACCACTACACTATCATGCTGGGCCCAATAGATTTTTTTTAAGATTTATTTTTATTATTATTATTTTTTTATTGGAAAGGCAGATATACAGAGAGGAGAGACAGAGAGGAAGATCTTCCCTCTGATGATTCACTCCCCAAGTGAGCACAACGGCCGATGCTATGCCGGTCCAAAGCCAGGAGCCTCTTCCGGGTCTCCCACATGGGTGCAGGGTCCCAAAGCTTTGGGCCGTCCTTGACTGCTCTCCCGGGCCACAGGCAGGGAGCTAGAAGGGAAGCGGGGCTGCCAGGATAGAACCAGCGCCCATATGGGATCCCGGGCGTGCAAGGCGAGGACCTTAACCACTTGCGCCATGGCGCCGGGCCGGGCCCGAAGCATTGGTTTTCACACAAGGTTGCCATGTGCCGGAGCACCATGTCTTCTCAGCTGTTCCTGACCCCAGCCTCAGTGCTCTCTCTGTGCTTCCACACTGAGTTTGGTTCAGAATTAAGAGATGCTGGTGTTTTTGTGTCTCCTCATGTACCTGCGTGCAGCGGAAAGCTACAAGGAAACACAGATGGTGAAGATTAAAGAGGAACCCATGGAGGTTGACATCCAGGACTCGCATGCCTCCATATCCCCGAGCCGAAATGTGGGCTACAGCACTTTAATCGGGCGAGAGAAAAGCGAACCCTTACAGAAGATGCCAGATGCCAGGGTACCCCCTGAGAGAAACCTCTTCAGCCAGGACATCTCTGTGAAGATGGCTTCCGAGCTCCTCTTTCAACTGTCGGGTAAGTGCATGCATGGGAAAACAATAAGAGCCAGGAATCATGAAGCAAAAACCATTCCCAACAAAGCCTTAGCAAAAAGCAGCTCCATGTCCTAGGACTGCTGAGACAGAAATCAGTTTTGTTACTTTAACATGCATACCGCCACCCGAACTGTTTAATATAGTGCTGCCAAATAGAACTCCTGCCAAACTTTCTTCACTAAATAGTTAAGAATGATGTAAAATGAGAACGCTATTCAATTCTGTGCAAATGATCCCTGTTGACTGTGCTAAGTGACTCACCCCTAAATTTGGTAAGGCAGTTGATCTGATTAACAGCCTTTTTTTTTCCTAATGTACAAAAGATAAACTTCAATTTACTCCAACAGTGACTGAGTTACCATGAATTTCCAATTCAGTGTGGTATGAGTGAATGAGAGTTTATTCGTGTTGTAGCTTGCCCAAAGGAACAGCAAAAGGTGAAAGGATGAGAATTGTTGCCAGCAATAGCCTAATAGAACATTTTCTGTAAACAAACTTTTCTATTTCAAACATGTGGATTCTAAAGTGCAGTAATTATCAGCTAGTAAAGTTTCTTGATAAAATAGGCAAGGGTCCTAGTACTTATGTTGTTTTTTTCTTCAATCTTAAAAAAAATATAGTGTGTGATTATTTCCTGGACATGATTGAGATGATTGTGTTATGGGCACATGGTTGAGTTTTTGCTAGACATAATACACCATGTCTATAGTCACACATTGACCCGCATGCTAAAAGCTCATGCATCAGTAAAGTTAGTAATTTCTGGAAAAAAATTTTTTGTTACCCATTTATCCATTGAGTGGTTCACTGTGTAAGTGTTTGCTTGTCCCTGCCCACACCTCCCAGCACCAAAATATCAGGAAAAAGAAAAGATGAGCTGTGTGCCACCTTCTCATTGGCCTGGTAGAATCCCTCATGCTTGTGTAACTATCAGGTGCTAGCCTCCAGGGTCTCAAACAAGGGCTGTGCTTGTGCAGCTCTGCAATAGTAGAAATTGTTAATTCAGTGGGCTTGAGAGGACTCATAGGTCTTTCTGCAAGTTGCAAAAAACTCCAGGGGCTTTCTTTTCTTAGGGTTGAAACATATCTAAAGACACTCACACTTTGACAAGGACTTAGAAGCTAAAATTTATAGAGGTGAGAGCTGCCTGGTGCTTTCCAGTCTTTGTACATTATTGTGGCCTCCTATCAGCTAAAAGCTTTGTGTCTCAGAATTCTCACCCTGGCACCGTCACTGCCTAGGTGAGCTCAGACAAGCCATCTAGCCCCGACTTCCTGCTCTCTGAGAGAATCCTGGCCTTGAATCAAAATTCACTCTCATTGTCAAGTGGACACAAAGGGATCATCTATACAGATGTGCATGTGGCAGCAGCTGACTAGTATTGTGGGACAGATGTTATAAATCCTTGTTTACTTTTTCCCAAGAAATATGCAAGATTGAAATCTGACACCTTTTTGGAGTTCACTGTTCCCCTCTCTGCCATGGATACTTAAGCCACTGAGAACCACCACGCTCAGGAAAGAGTCCTCATATTTGGACTGGATTGGGAAGGCCAGAGGTCAACTTCTGTATTGGGTATTGATGAAATGATTTCTGACAGCAGCAAGGTCAGCCCTCCAGCCCCTGGAAGGGAGTGTTTGCTTCTTGTTGTCCAGTGATAGCTGGTATCCCTTTTGGCATTTATCAGAATAAGCACCAAGTTGTGGCACCAAGAAGTCTCACAGCTGTTTTTTAGGACCTTTCTCACAGAGGGGCTCAACAACATGAAGTCCAAAACAGAGCCACTGGGACAAATGCAGTTTTCATGCTGAGTCCCTGGGATGGCAGACATTTGCAGCTGGGGAAAGCTAGAGAGAAAGGAACTGACTGTGCATATGCCTTTGCACACCTACTTGAAACCTGATTACATCTTGTACGTAACAGGCAGTGCACTTGAACTATGTTATTAACTGTTTCCAGCTACATGATTTTAATAAAAGGTTTGTAGTGATTGTTATCTACATGCTTCTATCAGTTATCTTGCCATGTAAGATAGGAAAGATGTGCTTATTTAAAAAAGAAATCAGAAATGGGCAATTGGCCTAGAGATTAAGGTGACTGTTGGAATGTCCCACATCACAGATCCTAAGTTTGGATCCCACCTTGCTCCCGTTTCCAGCTGGTAGTACTTGGATGACACAGTACTTGGATCTCTGTCATTCACATTTAGTTCCTGCCTCCTGGCTTTGACCTGACTTCAGTCTCAACCATTGTGGGCATCTGGGGAGTAAACCAGTGATGGGGAGCTTTCTCTAGCTCTCAGAAATAATGTTTCTGAAAGAAGCCAAAAGAAAACCATAAACAAAGCAGAAACATGTTTAGGGTCTTTCTGCTTAAAAGATGAAAGGTGAGTGACAACTACGTGAGAGATGCATGTTCGATTGTGTTTCCTTCTTTTTTCTTACAGAGAAAGTGAGCAAAGAGCACAATCACACAAAAGAGAACACCATGCGGACGACCACCAGGTAGGCCCCTGGCCCAGGAAGCCCTCAAGGGAACCCCGTGGGGTCCATCAGACCCTGACACGGGTCCAGCTTTCTTTTCCAAACCACTTTCTCCCTCTGGACTCAAAGGGGTCACATGACCAAGTTTTTGCCAGAGTTTCTCTGTTATTGGAAACACTACAGAAATAGAGCATAACGAGGTGGGGAAGACCAATAAGATTTTATTAACTATCTAATAGGTGTTACTCGACTGGGGAATTTTCCATTTGATTGCTTTTTTATTGTTTACCGATACTTTTATGCAGCTGCTGCTGTTATTATCATCTTTGCAGAAGTTTGTTCAATTGAGAATTTAAATGGGTGGGACGGTTGAGGTTGGGAGTTGGGACTGTGTCTCATGCCAGCCTCACTCGGTTGGCACATCACCTTTCTTGTTGCAATCAAGGCTCTGTGGCTGTGGACACTAATAGCTGGGCATAAGGACTATCCCGGTATTTTTTGTCACGCAGGATTGTTTGGAGGTAAAAATAATGCTTTAAAAAATGGCCAGACCATTAATATCATTATCATGGGCAAAGAAAGTTTCCAGCTGGAGGAAACCAACCAGTATAGGCTGTCCATAAGTCGGCTGTCAGCAGAGAGGAGAACCAGCCAGGGTGGGTGCTCACCCTGAGCCCCTGATGGCCACCCCAGCCTGATCTGTCACAAGCAAGAACCACCACTGCAGGCAATTCCACCCTTGAAGCTCTCTTCCCCATGCTCAGATGGCCCTGCAACTGCTGAGTCAGCTCAGGATTGGTGTATCCGGGGTGAGTTAGCAGAGGCAGGAAGCACCAGCCATGACCTACCAGAACCTGGAAGCCAAGGAACTTGGCTCTCCCAAGCAACTCGATTCTTCATGATACAAGCTGTGAGTGAGGTATTTAGTTTTGATTTTTTGAAACAAAAATGACATTTTTCTTTTTTGCATGCTAAAAATTGACAGAGTACCATCAAGCACGTACACGGTATTCATTGGAACTTCAGCCCAAGGGCTTACAAAACTCTTTTCCTTGGAATTTAGGAATATCAACTGTCATAGAGGAATGAAAGTGAAGCCAGCTTGTGCTGCACTGGATCGTATAGTCTCAGGGAGAGGAACCTCCTCCTAATGGGTCAAAAGCATATTATTAGCCTTGTTTTCCAGCAGGTTTTTTTTTTTTCATGCCAAGGACGTGGATGGAAAATTAGTCTTGTGGAGATGATCTGTAGACTGGGATGGGAGATGAGTCTGGGGGAGTGGTAGGGTTGGTTTGTCCCCTGAACTGGATTTCTCCAGACAAGAGATATGGGCTGCTGTGGATTCCAACCTACTTCTTCTGCATATAACATTAGTACTACTTGGTGCACAAGGAGTCTTCCTTGAGCTCACAGAAAATATGTGGCGTCTTTTAGTTCCATTCCTCCATGAATTCTTTGAAACCACTTCATATATACCCCATGGGTCTAAACACTATCAAAACCAGCAGATTAATAGTTATGTAATCAGAACAGACTCAACATATTCAGTGGTCATTTTTGATTTGCTTCCATGGGAGGTATGAAGCGTGATGGATCAGGTTCCCTAGAAGCAACACTTGGAATGGGGATTCTCATGCAACTGTTTTATTGAGCGGATATAATCAGAGGGACCTGTGGGGAGGTGATGGCATGGGAGAGGGAAGAATGAGTCAGTAAAAACAGAATTTCACCTAGGGTCTTGTCTCTACTGTAACCTCTAAGGAGCCCCAGAGCAGAGCAAACACTGGAAGGAAAGCAAGGAGTCAATTCTTTGTATCCCTACATCATTCACGAGCATTAGTTCAGCCAGGCAGGGGCTGTGTGGCCTCCCCAGGTGAGCTACTGTAGTGGGGAGCAGCCGGCACATACAACAGCTCACAAAGTGTGCATTAGTGCGCAGTAGAGGGAGGGGCACTGGGGCCAGTCCCCAGCAGCACGTCCTACCAAAATTTCTGCTGGCTCTTTGAGACTACATAGTCATATTGTTATTTTTTTTAAAAAAAAAAGTGTGCTGGGAGATCATGTTATTTTATACTTTTCATGTGTTCATAGGGAAAAGGTAAGAGAAGGTTTGAATCAGCCCCAAAGAAGCAAAATGTGCCTGGAGCCCAAATTGCCTTGGCTGGAGCTGAAGTATAATTATAGAATAGAAGAGAAAAAAAATTTTGAACCATTTGGTGAAAGTGAAGCAATCTTTACGTTCTCCTCTAGCTGGGAGCTGAGGAGTGAGAAGAAATGTGAAGTCAGATCCTTTACCCAACACAGAGGAAGAGATGCTCTCTGAAAGCCTGGCAGGGCGCTACGAAATCCTGGGACCAATTACTGGCTTCAGTGCTGCAAAATCCTTGGTGTGTTTTCTCTGTCTTTTGAACAGGCAACTTGCTCAATTAACCTGTCCACAAATAGATTTCTTTTTACCTCTCACCTCATTACTGCAAGTGAACTAGAGTCAAGCTGTTGTATGCCAAGGAATTCACTGCAGCCTGAGTTCACTGATAGCAGAGGGCAGCACACACACACACATACCCAACTCTCTGTCTTTTGATTTTTCTTTTACAAGGAAGTAGGCGCCAAGCCTAGTGTGCAGATTATGTTTTGGGGGCTGATATGGTGAAACATTTAAGATTTACATTGAACCTCTGAATTTCATATCTCCAGATTTATTTGGGGGGTTTTGGTTTCTTAGCTTTGTAAGTTTCTTTTTTTTCTTTCTTCCTTCCTTCCTTCCTTCCTTGTTTCTTTATTTCTTTCTCTTTCTTTCCTTCCTTCCTTCCTTTCTTCCTTCCTTTTTTTTACAGTACAGAATGTGGGCACATATCTCTATACTTTGTCATACGTGGCAGGGTGTTGCAGAGTTCCCAGATTTCCTATGAGAGGACCAAATGGGAACTGAATGGTCACCCCAGGATCAGAATTAAGTTCAGAATTTCCTGGCTTTGAGAGTTGCCAGCTCCATGTAAGACAGTGTGACAATATGGGGTGTCCCAAGCACGCTGACTGTCCTTTCTACACCCGTCTCCTACCAGTGGATGCCTGAGTGTCTCCATTCATTGTGGTCTCCCGCCTCTGGGTCTCGATATCCAAAGAAACGAACTTAGAGAAGAAGCATCCAACACCGAAGAAAGGAGCCGAATCTTTCTTAACAAATCCGCAACTACCCCTCACTGCTGTTCATCATCATTGATCTTGATGGTCATTGTACCCACAAGAACCATGGAGAAATAAAGCAGCCTGAAACACAACAGTCTGAAGCTTGACATCATGACTCCCAGTGACTGGGGTTGCTGATTTCTAAGCCCGGACATCAAGAGAACATGAAGTTTCTGGATGTATCTAGTGCATTCTGTATCCTAAAAGGGTTGATGTCTTCCTCTTCATCAAATCTCCCCTTCACATCTGTCCATTGGCAGTTCTGCTCTGTGTAACTACCTGTGTTATAGGTTGGGGAGCTACAGACAGTGAAAAATAGTATGAAATGGCATTCCTTGTTAGCAGTTTTTAAAAAGAGGTTTAGGTGAAGCTAAAGGTTAAAACTAATAACTAGCAAGTTTCTGGATCATTGCTTCTCTACCTCAGTTTAAAAAAAAAAACCCATAGTGGAAATTTTTAAACATGTACAGAATTAGAAAGCATGTGCCTATCACCCTGCTAAAATAATTATCTATTCATGATCTCTGTTGTTCTTTCCTTCCCTCCCCTAACTCTCCCTCCCTGTAGATTATTTTTAAGTAGTATTCCAAGTATTATCAGAAGAACTGGTTTGAGGGTACCTTCTATTTTATCCTAAGAACTTACACAGCTGATTAAGTTAGGCTCTTACTCCTGAAACTAAAGGAACAAAAACATCCACCAAGATACACCGTGTAGCCAGGCAGAAAAAAACAATCAGCCTAGCAGCTGGACTGATTGAATCATGTGGTGTTGCTTACCAGTGCTTGACCTTTGCCCTCAACCTTTGCTGGTGCCCCTGCAAAGGCAGTGCCATTGTATCAGTCCTCCAGTTGGACCTTCAGTGTAAATGCTGAAACAATAGTCCTTTTTGCCTATTTAACCTCAGAATCCAAAAAATTCAGTTCAGGTGTAACAAAGGCTTCGAGTCTCCTTTGAGATATCTTTTTTGAGATACTCCTTAATGCCATCTTCTCCGACAAATGAGATGGAGTCACAGCCAAACTCATGAGAACAGAGGGAGACCATTTATGATGCTAATACAATCTTGATTTTTCTGTTTCCCTTTCCTAGCCTAAGCCTAAGTTCTGCAGAACAGAGAACCAGCTATTATGGTCTTTTATTAGATGAAAATACATGATGCATGATACCATAACAAGATCCCAAAGTTTAATGGAATAAAAAGGAGATCTCCATCTTTTGCCATGGACCATCACCTAGCCAGATGCTGGATAAGATCGAAATAGGAAAATGGAACCCTAGAGTAAGAATCAGATAGCTCCTGGCAGGTGAATTGGACATGCTCAATGTTGTGTAACACCATGAACTTCAAACAATGGCTGCCAAGAACCCTCTCTTGGTTATTTGTTCTCTCTTTTCCCCGTTAATAATTCAGTGTCCACGAGGGTATAGGATTGCAGGCCTACAAGAAAAACTTCTCACACCTGGTTTGTTTCATTCTGCAAGCAAGGAAGTGTTTCCCTTGAATTGTTCTTTTCTCTGTTATTAGGCAAAAAAGCAGAAGTGGGAGAATTGGAGATGGATATACTCATATCATGCTGTGCCGAGCAACATTTAATTTGCCCAATTTTCGGAATTTGAAATGTGGGTTATTTTTCTATGATTTGGATAATGGCACATAGAGTGTTTACTAAAAGGCATATTCACATGGAAGTGCCCAAAGTGGAATTTTCTTGTATGGTGGTTTGGATGCCTGCCCTCAAATATTTATGATTCAGTAATAGAAATCAAACACATTTGTAAAAGCATGATGTGCTGCCTAAATTCATGCAATTTCCTACATTTCATGTCTT